AGAATCTGCTTCGACTATCGAGGCACCCCGGAAATAGCAGGTCACAAAAGAGTGACAAACATACAAAAGAAGTAGAGGAAAATGACAATAGTAAGGATTAGGAAAGAAAAAGCAGCAGTTCCCTGTGGCAGATCAGGCACAGTTATGAGCGTGACATGATGAATCAGCCCATTTACAAATTCTACTGTGCTTGAACAAGAAATGTCCCCCCTTTGGGAATGGTCTAAAGACACTACAGTCAGTGGCACTGCACACACGCAGACGTTCACTCACAGACAAATCACAGAGACAGAGACAGAGACAGAGACACACACAGAGACATCCACTCACATATTTCATCTTGAAGGACTCCTCCTCCAGTTTCTCCACAGCCAAGATATCAGTCACAGGCATCTCAAACAGTGGTTTTTCTCCTGGACAAACAAAACATACATCATTTTGTTTTATTGTTTAAGTAAGTGTTTTACGGCACTTGCAAACACAATAAGGTCATATGAACGCCAAAAGATTAGAGGTGTTACCAGAGAGTAACAAAGACAAAAAAGGAAGGGAGATAAGGATGATAGAGTTTGACAGGAAAGAAGAAGCAAACCACACCAGAGCACCCACCAACCACCCACTAAATAATTTTAAATAATCCTACACAAGAAAAAAACAAAAACAAAAAAACCCACAGAGGTGGGTGCTAATCGATACCAGTACTCAGTAGTTATTAACTCTTTTATCTCCATGAGGGGTAAATCCACTACGCCGGGGCCCTATTTAGGAACAAAATCTAAAATTGACACATATATCACTAAACTGGTCATTAAATATTTTAAAAAACTGAACCCATTTCCACAGCTCCTCATCTAATAAATAGAAACAGAACTGTTTTCAGCAATTGCCAAAAAGTAAGACAATCACTTGTACAAACATCCACCTCCCATTTCCTCCCCGGCCTGTGTTTTACATTACAATAACACTGAGAAAGACGTCCACTTGTCTAAGATAACAACTTTTTCTCCTCGACTATGGACGGACGTCTTTGACAATTTTGACAGCATTCTTAGGGGATTTTTTTCATCATCAATTTTACATTCCCACCACAAAATTTAGTTTGAAATGCAAAATCTACAGAGTTGAGAACTCAGTTTAGTTTCAGTAGAGGTTTTACAGGGCTCGCAACTGCATAAGGTCATATGAGTGCCAGAAGATTAGAGGTGTTACAAGAGAGTAACAAAGACAAAAAAGAAAGAGGGGAGATAAGGACGATAGATGTTTGACAGGAAAGAAGAAGCAAACCACACCAGAGCACCCGCCAACCACCCACCTTTGTTCTTGGAATACGACAGCGTCTGGTTGGTTAGGCGGAAAAATCTCTTTTTGAAATTCTTCAGTCCGAACCGTTTCCTTCCCTGAGCTCTTTTAATCATGAACCTGAAACAAAAAAAAGCAAAACAAAACTTTCCTTTATGCTTCCCGCAAAGCTGAGAATGTTTCGGAATGTTCTATGGTCTGATGGGGTAATAATATAGTGTAAAGCGCATAGAGCCTGCTGTTGAGCGGGGATATGCGCTATACAAATGCTATCTATTATTATTATTATTTGAGTTTACTCATTTCTTCAAACAGTCGACTCATCATGCCTTCACCATGTCAAACTACAGGCCATCTGTGTCAACTCATTCATTATCTGTGTCAACTCATTCATTATCTGTGTCAATTCATTTGTTATCTGTGTCGATTCATTCATCATTTGTGTCAACTCATTCATTATCTTTGTCAATTCCTTCACTGTCCGTGTCAAATCATTCATCATTTGTGTCGACTCATTCATTATCTCTGTCAATTCATTCATTGTCTGTGTCAAATCATTCATCATTTGTGTCGACTCATTCATTATCTGTGTCAACTCATTCATTATCTGTGTCAAATCATATATTATCCATGTCAACAAATCCATTATGTGTCAACATTATCCGTCTCCAGACGTACATAATCCATGCTCACTCGTGCAATATCCAGGAACAACAAATCCACTATTTGTGTCAACTCATACACAACCAATGTCTACTAATTTCAGCACTTATATGACCTACTTGTGTTGCAAGTGCCGTAAAACTCTTACTAAATCTAATTATTTGCTTTTGCTTTTTGGGGGCTCCAGTGGCTAAGTGAGTAGTGAGTTTTGACTCAAGCAATGTCAAGCAAGAGTCGGTGACACGGGGATCAGATGGGTGGTCACTGGAGTGTGTCCTTGAGCAAGACACAACAACCCTAGCTCAAATTACAGGGCGCTGCACAGTGGCGACCGACAGTGGCATTGTTTGTAAACTGTTCTGTATTTGTGTAATAGTGTGCATTTATGTATGTATTTATGTATGTACGTATTTCTAATTATGTTTTTATGTATGTATGTTTGCCATTGTAAAACAAAGTGCCCTTCTGGGACAAATAAAAGCGTAATTTATTATTATTATTATTATTTACGGCACTTGCAACACAAAATAAGGTAATATAAGAGCTGAAGATTAGAGGTCTTACAAGAATGTAACAAACACAACAAAAAAAGGAGGGGAGATAGAGACGATAGATTTTTTTTAGAGGATAGAAGGAGCAAACCACACCAGAGCATCATCCGTCAACCACCCACTTACTAAATCTAACCAACAAATTTACTATACATGCTGGTAACAGCTTTAGCTCAATCTCACAAAACCCACATTAACTCATAGACTCGCATGACAGCTCATTCTCTATCAGTGTTTTTCCATTCACTATTCGGGACACTACATATTTGAGAGACAACTCACCCTTCTTTGAGCACTATAGGAGCTTCAATGTTCTTGAAGTGCAGGCCTGAGCATGATGAGATGATGTCTAAAAACTGGATGATAAAATAAAGACAATACATGTAGTGGGGAAAAGACTCAAACATGTTTATAAAGACAATAAGAAAAGACTCAAACATGTCTATAAAGCTAGTGGTGGTTTGGTAAATGAATAATTGCAGTTTTCTCTTCTCTGTTTTTGTTTTGTTATGTAATTGTGAAAAGACTCAAACATGTCTATACTATAAAGACAATACATCGTGGGCAGTATTGCATACAGACGTAAGTCATTTTTGGCGGCCTTTGAGATACGTCTGTATGCAATACTGCCCGCGACATATAGTTGTGAAAAGGCTAACATGTCTTTAAAGACAATACAAGTAGTGGTGAAAAGACTCAAACATGTCTATGGAAATATGCTTCTGCGAATTGAAGAGTGGTCTTCCAAACCTCTGTAGGTCAGTTTTGACGAGCGCCTGATTTCATCACGACGCTTACATTTGTATTATTATCGACGTGTGTAGCATTGTGGTGAAATCAGGCGCTCGTCAAAACTTAGACTTCTTGCACTTGCAACACAATAAGGTCAAATAAGTGCCGAAGATTACAGCGGTTATAAGAGAGTAACAACCACAAAAAAGAAGGG